GGCCGGCCGCGCGGCCGTGTCCCGCAGCAAGGCAGGCTTTGCCGCTAGAAGGTGCTGCTGCCCCGCGCTCGGCGCGCGCCCGGCCGCCAGCATGCACCGCTGCGTGCTGCAGCGGCACCGTGCGCTGCAGCGGCGCTGAACCGCCCCGCCAGCCGACCCGCACGCGCCCCGCGCAGCGCGGCCTGCGGACCGATGCAGGTTGAGGTGGTTTCCATTGAGAACAGCTTAATAAAGCAGCAAGGAGGCAGCTAGAGGCTGCTCCATGCGGCGGAGCACACACAGAAACCCGCTCCTGGCCCATTGTGCTCGCTCCTCGCGCGCTGGGCTCGTGCAGGAGGAATCGCTGCGGGTTTCCCAGCGTGCCAGCCGGGATCCAGGGAGATCCGAGGAAGGGGCTGGGGGCCCCTGTGGCCTCTGTGGAGCGATGCCACCGTGTTGGGGACCTGCTGCCTCCCGCTGCTGCTGTATTTCTGCCCTCGATATGGTGAGGTGTTCTCCTGTGCTGGCTAATTTAGCCATCGTCGTGTTCTTTTAATTAAATTAGCATCTTGTAATGTGCCTTGGCCTGCCAGCAGAGCTTAATGTCTCTTCCCAGCTGCAGGGAGCACTGGGCTCCTCCAGCCTGGGATGCTCAAGCGACCAGGGCTGGCGTGGGCAGGATTGAGTGCGATGCTCGGGTGCACAGGGCTGGTGCAGGTGGGGTGTTTGGATATAGATGGGATGCTCCGCTGCAGACGGGGTGCTCTGATGTGGATGGGATGCTCCGCTGCAGACGGGGTGCTCAGATGTGGCTGGGGTGCTCAGGTGCACGGGGCTGGTGCAGGTGGGATGCTCAGATGTGGATGGAATGCTCCAGTGCAGTTGGGATGTTCGGATGTGGATGAGATGCTCCCCCTCACATCTGGAGGGGTTTCTGGAAGCGCTGGGATGGAAATTGGGCACTGAGGGAAAGCAGGAGAGCTGGGATCCTCACCCGGGACCTGCCCCGGGTGCCGGCAAGGAGCAGGAGCCAGAGCAGGAGCTTCCGTGCGACCGGTCCCCATGTTTGGGACCCGCAGACCCCTCTCTCGTCCCCGCGTGAGCGGCCCTGCCGCCATCCTGCAGAATATCCCCTGATTTATGCTGCTGCTTCAGCCAGTCTGTAACTCTGATTGCTTCTCCTTCTCTTCGCCTCAATTTGACTAGTTTGCCTGGAATATTAATAATTAAACACCGAGGAATTATGTCCCGAGCAGTCTCGTCGGCTGAGCGCGGCTGACGGTTTAAACGTGCGCCGTGGTTTTAGTGGCTCTTTGATAGAATTTTGCTTCTTTCAAAGCGCTGACCCCAGTGACCCTATAAATTAGCGGCTGCGGAGGGAGATGTCCCGGCGGCGGCTGCGGGGCCGCAGGGTGGTTTGTGAACAGGAATTTGGGCGGCAGCCGGGAGGCGCCAGGGGCAGGGGGGCCCCGCGGTGCCGGGAGACCCAGCGGGCGGCTCCGCTGCCCGACCCCATCCCACCTCCTCCGGAATCCCGGGAAGCGGGAGGGAGCGCGTGGCCCTGATCCCGTGTGCACTTCCCAAGGAATCCCGGGAAGCGGGAGGGAGTGCATGGCCCTGATCCCGTGTGCACTTCCCAGGGAATCCCAGGAAGCAGGAGGGAGTGCATGACCCTGATCCCGTGTGCACTTCCCAGGGAATCCCGGGAAGCGGGAGGGAG